TTCTTTCTTTTCTTCAGATTGACCAGTTTTATTGATATATCTCAGGTTCACATGCTCTTTTCTTTTCCATCCATATTCTTGTATTGAGTCTATCCACTAAATTTGTTATTTGAGCCTTTCCTACAGGTGCCCAGCCCAGGCAGAGAGCCAGCAGATCCAACCCTGCCTGCTAGATGCTGCCACTGGAAGGCCCTTTCCTACGGGCGTACAGCATGGGCAGGGCACGCCAGCTGATCTGCCTCTGCCTGCAGGGAGCTGCCACCAGAAGGCTCTTTTCTGCAGGTGGCCAGCAGGAGCAGGGATACACAGCCAAGTAAGCCCTGTGTACCTGTAGACCACTATTGGAGGCCCTTGGTTCCTTCGGGCAGCCATCACCCAGTAGTGGAATCAGACAAATACACAGTTGTGTGTCTGCCACCATTGAGGAAGTCCCAGTGTTAACACACAGACTGAGAAAAGCAGCCCCATCTCTATATACCCCTGGTCATAAGGGAAACCCATGTAGCTACACAGATCTGGAGAAGCCTGCTTCATGTCCTGCTACCTCCCTGTAAATCTGGGGATAGAGGAATTCAGGTACCTGTTCCATTCCCCTACACCATGGAGGGGCAGCCAATATGGGAAGTATCTCGGGCCACCCAACCAGCTTGTTGGGAAGAACACAAGAGATTGTCAAGACGAAGGAGCAAAAGGCAATCTCAGACCTCCAGTCCACACAGAACAAGTCTGGGAGATACAATCATGGAAGATAATGGAAGTCACACACCTGAAATCTCTGAGATGATAACATCTGAAGTAAGGAAACAACTTCCTGAGATTGTAAAAGCAGTCAAGTCAGAAATAATGTCTCAGGTAAAAGAAATCACAAATATACTGAAAGAATTGTTCAGCAGATTTAAAGAAGACAGACAAAAAAGAGGAGCATAGGAAAATGATGCAAACCTTGAATGAATATAGAAATGCATGAAACAGATTGAAATGCATGAAACAATGCATGAAACAGATTCAAAGAGAAATCCAGAAAATTAAAAATTCAATCTAAAACTGGCAAAACCGCTTGACAGAGACTGAAGATGGACTTTCAAACCTTGAAGGATAGGATTGCAGCTAGTGATCGTGAAAGGAAAGATCTGTTAAAAACAACACGGAATCAGGAAAAAACAACTCAGTGGCTGCAAGATGACCCAAAGAAGCATAATTTTAAGAGTGGTAGATTTTGGGGCTGGGGATTTAGCTCAGCAGCATAAGCACCTGCCTTGCAAGCAGGTGATCGTGAGTTCGATACCCGGTATCGATAAAAATGAAAAAGACAAAAAAAAAAAAAAAAGAGTGGTAGATGTTGGTGAAGAAACGAGTCAACACAAATAAAAGGCTATTTACAGAAGTAATAGAAGAAAACGTCCCAAACATGGGAAATGGATCTGGCATGCAGATAAGTGAGACAGACAAGACTCCAGCTAGCCATAACCAAAGTAAATCTGTATCCAGACATCTAATAATCAAGATCCCGGAAATTCAGCACAAGAATAGAATATTAAAAGCTGTTAGGGAAAAGAAACAGATCACTGATAAAGGAAAACAAATCAGAATCACAGCAGACTTATCAACACAAACCAAGAAGAGTTTGGAGTGGAGTTTCAAACTCTGAAAGAAAACAACTTCCAACTCAGATTGATCTACTCTGCAAGACTATCTTTCAAAATTGATGGAAAAATAATATACTTCCATTATAAAAGAACAACTGAAAGAGTTCATGACTACCAAACCAACCCTACAGATAGTGCTAAACAATATTCTAGAGAGAGATTAAAAATAACCATGGTTCCAGGAATAGCAGCAGGGGAGGATCACCAAACAAGGCAGGCAACTGAATGAAGAGGAAAAGTAGAGGACCAACCAGCAGAAGGATACATGGTGGAGATAAACTAATGCAGATCAGCAATAAAAAGAAACCCAAGGAGAGTGGATCAAGAAACAAGATCCATCAATATACTATTTACAAGAAACACATTTAACTGGAAAGGAAATTCAGAGACTAAAAAATCAAGGAAAGAAAACAATTGTTCCATGTGACAGGAACAAAAACAAAAAGCAAGACTAACTTGCCCATCAACTACAGATGGATAAGAAAGATTAGGTATTTTCATGCAGTAGAAAGCTACCCAGCAGAATCATCTCAAAACTCCTGTAAGTAAATGGACCCAACTGGAGAGCATGTTCATAGATGAAACAGCTTGAACTCATACGTATGACCCTAGCATAAGAAACAGAAGGAGTTAATAGGATCCAAAAGCAAAATAGTTATTGTAAGAGTGAAAGGGGAGGAAACACCTGGAAAGGAAAGGTAGTAACTATTGTTAATTTCTTATTGTCTTGTCTTGAACTCTTCTATTGTTTTCACAATTTTGTTAGGTTTGGCTTTGTTCTGTCTTGTTTTGTTAGATTTTACTCTGATGATAGAGGCAGCTATTTTGAATAGAATGAGATATATTAGGGTAATCTTGGTTTCCTATTATATTGCTTTGAAGTCTTATGCTTTCATTCATTTGTTTAATTGGTTTATTCTGTTTTGTTTGATTTTATGTGATGCTATAAAAGCTATTTTGAAGAAAATGAGACATTATAGTAGCTATTGCTGATTTCCTATCATATTTTGAAGTCCTATCATGCTTTTATTCTTCTATTTTGATTGGTTTTATCCTGTTGTGTCTTATTTGATTTTATTTTGTGTGATGATATGGACAACTTTTTTGAGGAAAATGAGATATTATAGTAGCCATTGTTCATTTCCTATTATGTGGTTTTGAAATCCTATAATGCTTTTATTCTTTTGAATGGTTTTATACTATTTTGTTATGTTTGCTATTATTGTGTGTGAAGGTATGGTCAATTATTTCAAAAAAAGAGACATTATGGTAGCTACTGTTCATGTCTTGTGAAATGCTGTGTTGCTTGCATTGTTCTATTCTGATTTGCTTTGTTCTGCTTTGTTTTATTTAAAGTAAAAAAAATTTTTTTTAAAGTTCTCAGGGCAGGCATTTTGTGCCGCATACTCAAATGATTCCTCTTATTTTTCTATCTTTAATTTTCTTTCCCTCTAATTCTCTAATGGATTTGCCTCCTTTAAATTTTTGTTTGCATTGTTTGAAGCTGTTTGGACTAAGATGAATTTTTGAAATTTAATAAATTAATGAAATTATTTGTAAAAATATTGTTATTTGAGATACTATAAAATATAGGTCTAAATTTTCTATTTTGATTACTTTTATTATTTTATATAGTTTTCATTTATTGTTGTTGAGAATTTTTTATTTTTCCACTCATTTCAAATAATAACTGTTTTAAAACCCATTTGAAAATGCTAGGATCTGATTCATCTTTTTTGTTTTGTCTTGCTATGTGTAGTTTAGGCTGGTCCTGAACTCATTGTGTAACCCAGGTTGGCCATAGACTCATAACAATCATCCTGCCTCAGCCTCCCAAATGCTAAAACTAAAGCTATAGACATATGCCACCACACCTGGCTCTGAGAATTAATTTTGCTGTTGGCTTTTGTGATTGAGTTTGTCCTGTCACTTTTTTTTTTTTGTCTTTTTCGTTTTACTGGTTCAGTATGTGTGAAAGAATTTTGTCCTGGACATTTATTCTCATACTATGTTTTGATACTGTCATTGGTTGATGTTCTCTGAGAATGTTGATATTTTTGTGTTAGTAGGCAACCAAACTTAAAATACTACACGTTTGTTAAGGTACCACCTAACATCCACGGTGGCACCAATGTCAGTTCAGTTTCTAACACGTTAGGCTGCTTTGTTCTGTCCAGTGCATGTCTTGCTCAGAGTTAAAGTGAGGCTTGGGCAGTGGTTTACAGTTTAGCTCTCACAGCTTTTCTGTATGAGCATAGGTCAGGAGGGACCCAAGGCTTGTGCCAGTTCACAGTGAGGAAATCCCCTTTTTCAGCTTAATTTCTCACCAGTGTTCCTGTAATACTTTTTGACCCTCAAAATCCCCCTTCCCCAGTCCTATGGCCAAAAAAATGAGTTTTCTGTAGGAGTTTTCTATTTTCCACACCATTGTTGTAACAGTTGAATACCACAAGAAAAAACAGAAGAAAAAGAAACAGGAAACAACCTTGTGGAGGTTTCTTTAAGTTTTGACTGCTCTCCACAGTCCACTTGCTTTTGTTTACTTTTCAGAGTCCCCTGTGAGTTGCTCTCTTTGTATGTATCTAAAGTTTTAAATTCTCATCAGTTTGTGAGACAGATGGTGGTTTAGCTTACTCCATTCTACCAGTGTCTACAACTTTTTAGTCTTCTTGATAACTTTAAAACTGGCAACAGTACAGGAAGTTTTGTTTTCAAATTTCTGCCAGGTCTACTAAAGTAAAATGTCATGCATTTCATATGGCTTCATTTCATTTCATATGGTTGGGGGGGGGGCGGGGAGTGTGTGTGTGTGTTGAAAGAATAATAAAACATAGATGTGACATAATATTAACATAGATATGACACAGTATTAACAATTGGGTCTAGACGGGTATTCATTTTCAACTATAGTGTAATTTTAAGTTTTATTTTTAAAAAGTTAATGGAGGGGTGGGGGGGTGTGTTAGCTCAGCAGATGTAAATGCCTGCTTGGCAAAAGCGAGGTCATAAGTTCAATTCCTGGCACAAAAAAAAAAAAAGTTAATGTAAAGCTGATTTTTATAAATTTTATAATTTTAGTCACGCTAATTAGATCCTGAAATCTACCTAATGATGATTGTCAGAGTACAGGTATTTTTAATTGGTCAAACTTGAACACTTAAGAATCTAAATTGTTTTTAGTCAAACCCTTTTCTAATTTCAAGGTGGTTCTCTTTTTTCCTAATAAATGCTTTTTTGATATTTCTCTATTTCTTTCTTCGGTCTATTTTTCTTTGTTCATTTTGACTAATGAGGAATTTTGAGTCTGTTGAGTAGTAGTCATCTCAACCAAAAAGTAATTATCCTTTCACTTAGGCAATTCCAAGCCCGAGTGTCTCGACAATCTCTCTTGGCACTTGAAAAAGAAGAGGAAGAAATTTTTGTGTCTTCTGTGTCACAGCGAAGCACACTAGCTGAACTAAAGAGTAAAGGAAAAAAGACAGCAAGGGCTCCAATCAGCCGTGTAGGAGGTGCCCTCAAGAGTAAGTTTGTTGCATGTTATTTTGGAAAACACTTTAGTCTCTTGTGGTAGGCAAATCATGTAGAAGAAAATGCATAAGTATACATGTGAACACTGTCCTAGTTTTCTGAGTAGTGGGTAGCAAAAAAAAGGGAAGTCAAACCAAAATTAATATTATACTGTGGGGCTGGGGCACAGTGCCAGCCTGTCAGGTATGAGGTCATGAGTTCAATCCCTAGTACCCCCCAATTTTATATATGTATATATCATACTGTGCAATAAAACCAAAGGGTTTCAGCAGTTTTGTGTCTTAAGATAGGACCTGATTTGTAGGAAACATTTTCTGAATAAAAGTTGTTTAAAAGATTCATAGTAATATAACGTATTGTTTAAAGCTTACATGTGTCCAAGCCTCAGAATGATGTTAACATGATTAAGAATCCTGTCTTCAAGGCCATGTGGTAATACATGCTTGTAATCCTAACACTCAAGAGCTGAGGCTGAGGCGGGAGGATCACTACAATTTTGAGGCCAGCCTAGACTAGAGAGTTCTGGGGCAGACTAAACTACAGAGGAAGATCCTGTCTCAAAAAAACAAAACAATAACAACAACAAAAAAGAATTCAGCTTTTTGGGGCCAAAAATTAGACACTGTACAGCCAAAGATGATTTTTTTTTTTTTTTTTTTTGCCTTTTTCCTTTTCATCGGTACAGGGATCGAACTCAACTATCTGCTTGCAAGGCAGGCGCTTATGCCGCTGAGCTAAATCTCCAGCCCCGACAATAACATTTTTAAATAATGTTTTTTAAAGTTTCAGGGTCACAGCAGAATTGACTAGAGTATAAAGAACAATAAATTTTAATGACTAAATTTAAGACAGACTTGTAGACCAGATCACTATTTTCATATTTTATCCCTTTCCTGGTAACAGTTGATAAATAATCAAAATATTGGCTAGAAACATATATGTATCTATCTATAAATAGATACCTATATATAGATAGATATTGATATCTATCTCCTAATTCTCTATATGCTATATATGGTATATAATTTCAAAAGATATTTCAAGCAGATTGTAGTTAAACTTAAAATACTAACCAACCTCACTGCAGTTACCTCTAATTTTGTATTCTCTATTGATTCCCATTGAGAGAAACTTTAAAGCTAAAAAGTAAAGTTTGAGGTTAATTCCTGATAAAACTAAACAAAAGTTAGAATGATGACTGAAAGAAGGTATAGAATTTCTTTCTTGGATACCCATAAATAAAAGAGTAAAGGCAGTAGGAAAGAGTAAGAAGGAAGGAAAGAATAAGTAACAAAGGTAGCCTGAAGTGTTACTAATTTGGCCCATTATATTTTTTAATTATGTTTTTAAAGTCTTTTGATTTTATTGTAGTAGGTGTATTCACCTTATTTGAGGAAGAATATGTGTACCTTATCAGGCATCTAAATTGATAATTAAATATTTTATGTAAAATTTTAATGTTTTTCTCCCAGATCCTAGCCAAAATAGAGGACTCCAAAATCCAGTTCCTCTACAGATGCAAAGCAATTGTAGAATTAATGTCTTTGATGAAAATGCTGACTTGGCTTCCAGGGCAGAGCTGTGTAAGCCTACAGTCCAGCCGTGGATGGCTCCCCCGGTCCCCAAAGCCAAGGAGAATGAGCTGCAAGCAGGCCCTTGGAACAAAAGGGCCTTGGATCACAGGGTGAGAACTTGGAGATGGAGTCTATTTGTCAATATAATAAAGACTTCGGGATCAAAGTAGAGGAGTATTTTTAGAATGTCTTAATTCCTCTTGAATAGTTAGGTCCGTTTTGCACATGGTGTACCAGATTGAAAAGCTGTGGTAATTTTAGTTTTTTCTTCATCTGCAGCCTCATGGCAGCACAACTTCTGTGACAGCAGTACCCCCCATGCTTCCCAGTTTTACTCCATATGTGGAAGAGACTGCACAACAGCCAGTTATGTGAGTTTGGTTTCCAAATGCTTTGAAATGAATTTCTGTGGGCTTGCAGAAGCACCTTGGTTCCAAAGGGATTTTATGTTTTGTGTGAATGAAAGTAGCCAAAATTTTGTGTGTCCTTCATGCTTATATTCTTTTAAGCATGGTAGGCCTAAAAATTCATTTAGGAGTGTTTTTTTATAGAATAAGTTTACTGGTTAGGTGTATATTTACATTGCTATAAGTAAGATAATTGTTACGGTGTAAGTGAGTTACTCTACTTTATGACTGAGAGTACTCATTAGAAATTATGACAGTTTACTCTCATCCTACTTTTTCTTTGCAATCCTTGTGTCTTGTTTTTTCTGTTAGCATTTCTGTTCATAAGGGAAAGTATGGTAGGTGATGGGTTAAATTAGCCAGTTTGAGCGTTAGTCTAATATTAAATTCTAATACCAGTCTAAATTCTATGTCTCAGCACGTTTTCTCATAACTAATTTATAATTACCACTATATGCCAAGTACTATAGAAATACAAAAATTGGATTTTTGAGCAAATGTTCTGTCTGATAAGCCTGCAAGTGAAGTAAGATATTTTTGAGGAATTCACTTGAACATTTATAGAAACCAATAGTGTGCATTTATAGAGACTTAAATTTTCTAATATTTCAAGTCACTTTTAAAGCTGATTATCTTGGGGTTTTTTGTTGTTTGTTTGTTCTTTTTTTTTTTTTTTTTTTTTTTTTGGTACTGGGGATCAAACTCACACTTGTCAGGCGGGCGCTTACACCACTGAGCTAAATCCCCAGCCCTCAAGTGACTTTGTAGAAAACACAAATTATGTTAGTGTTAATATAATAGAAAATGTTGAATTTTTTGTATTTAAATTCTTTTTTATGAGTATCTCATTTGACCTTTCTACACATTTTTTCTTCACATTATATTTTTCTCAGTGGTTGTTTTGGTTACTTTTGTTATTGCTGAGACAAAATACTTCATGCCCAAAATGAAGAAAGAAAACGTTTATTTAGCTTATAGTTTGTGGAGGTCTCAGTACATACTCAGTAGACTCCAAGGCATGGTGGCATGGCTAAGGGACAACCGTTCATGGCAATCATAAGTGACAAGACTGAAAAAAAGGCAAAAAGGAAAGTACATACTTCCTTCTCTCCCTTATATTGTATACTGGCTACCCACTCCTGGACAAGTGCAGCACTCACACCACTAATACCAGCGCAAGACAATGAACCAATCACAAATGCTAAACTTGGCCACCTTGAAAAGGCCTGTCCTATTCCCCTCACCATGACCCATGAAATTTTGAGAGGGCATCCAAACACAAACTAACAGGGATTTATAGTTGTTCATCTAATAAGAAAATTGGGGGGGGCTGGAGGTTTAGCTCAGCAGCATAAGCACCTGCCTTGCAAGCAGGCAGTCGTGAGTTCGATCCCCGGTACCGATAAAAAGGAAAAAGACCCAAAAAAAAAATTAAATTAAAAAAAAAAAAAAAAAGAAAATTGGGGAAGTAGCTTAATGATAAAGTGTTTATCTAGCATTCAGGAAGCTGTTAATTTAGTTCTATAAGCCTTGCTGATATTTATATCTAGTAAAAGGAAGAATTCTAGATTCATTCTTCTGCATGTGGATATCCATTTGTCTCAGCACCACGCATTGAAAAGACTGTTCTTTCCTCATTGAATGGTCTTGGGTACCTTGTTGAAAATCAGTTGACCATAGTATATGACTTTATTTCTAGACCTTTAATACTATTTAATTGATATATATGTCTATCTGTATGCCAGGTATACAGTTTTTTTTCTCCCCCACACAATCTTGGTTACTATAGATTGTAACTTGAAATTGGGAAATAAGAATTCTTCAACTTTATTCTTTTTAAAGACTTGTTTTGATTTTTATGCTCTCCTAGCAACCCCATATGAATTTTAGGATTAACTTGTTTATTTTTTGCAAAAAGGTCAGCTGGGATTTCTAGTAAGGATTCTAAGAATGGGTAGGTCAATCTAATGAATATTAACTTATTAACAATATAAAGTCTTCTGATCCATAAACATAGGCTATCATTTTATTTATTTATAGTTTTTTAAGTTTCTTTCTACAATGTTTGGTAGTTTTCAGAATACACATCTTGAGCTTTTTATTTATTTATTTATTTTCTCATGTGCTAGTGATCCAGTTCAGGGTCCACGTGCTAACAGGTGTTAAGCTACATCCCCAACACCTTGAATTTTTTTTTTTTCATAAAATGATAAACTTTTTTTAGAGCACTTTAAGGTTTATAGAAAAATGAGTAGCACATTCAGAGAATTCCTATATATGTGTCTCCCAACCCTGTCCACAGTTTTCTTTATTAACATTTTTCATTAGTGTAGTATACTTGATATAATAAGTAATTCTAAAGTCTATTATTTCCATTAAGATTCATTGTTTCACAGCCTGTGAATTTTGACAAATGAATAATGTCATGTATCATTCATTACAGTGTCACACAAAATGGTTTCATTGACCAAAAAGCCCCTGGGCTTCATCTTTATCTTCTTTCCCCTAAATCACTGGAGACATCACATGTTTATGTTGTCTTTACAGATTTGTCTTTTTCAGAAAGTAATATAGCTGAAATCATGCAGTAGTTTTCTCAGACAGGTTTCTTTGAACAATATGAATTCACAGTTCCTCCATGTCACTTGTCACTCGGCACTCGTATCTTTCAGTGCGAAATGATGGTTCCATTGTATCAGTGTACCAGTTTTATTTATTCACCTACTGGAGGTCATTTTAGTTGCTTCCAAATTTTAGCAATTATGAATAAGTTACTATAAACTTTCATGTGCAAGTTTTTGTGGGAGCTTAAATTTTCACTTTACCAGCTTATATAAGAAGACCAAATTTAGCCATGTAAAAAAGTGACAAACTCTCTTCCAAAGTGTTTGTACCATTTCACATCTCTACTAGGAATAAAGGACAGTTCCTGTTGCTCCACACTATTGGCAGCATAAAATGCTGGCAGTATTGCCAGCATTTTAGATTTTAACCATCAAATAGGTGGGTAGTTGTGTCGTTATTGTCTCAGTTTGCAACTATTTAATGACTGGCCATTAGTGTGTCTTCTTTGGTGAGGTGCCTGTGATAGATAGATAAATAGATTGATTGATTTTTTTTTTTTTAATCAGGGATCAAACTCACAACCTTGTGCTTTCCAGGCATTGTGCCACTATACCGCTGAGCTGTGTCCCCAACCCTGTACATACTATGTTTTACATTTATTCTGGACTATTTTATTCTTTATGATGCTATTATAAATAGATTATATAGCTATTATAAATAGAATTATTTTCTTAATTTCATTTTCAGATTGTACATTTCAAATGTATAAAATATAACTGAATAAAAATTTACTTGCTGTGTTGCCCAGTCTGTGGTAAAAATGCCTGGGCTTAAACAATCCTCTTGATTTAGCCTCCAGAGTAGCTGGGACTGCAGGTGCACCTTATCATACCTGTCAGTAAAGTTTATTTTTCAAGATTGCTTTTATATCCTCTAGTTTTCATGATCTTACTTTAATAGATTTTTTAGTGGATCCTGAGGATTATCTGTATATAAGGTCATGGTATCTGCAAACAGTTCGTTCACTTTCCCCATTTTTTCCCTTGTCTGATACCCTTGGCTAAAACTTCTAGAACAATATTGAATAGAGGTGCCAAGAATGGACATCCTTGTCTTATTCCTGTCCTTAGAGGAAGAGTTTAAACATGAAATATGATGTTTAATATGAGTTTTTTAATGGAAGCTCTTTATCAGATTAAGCAAGTTGTGAGAGCTTTTTAAACATGTACTTGCTTAGACTCTGCGATCATAGGCGCTGATTAATTAGGTCTGGGAAGAAAGCAACCTTAGGATTTTATTACTGTTATTTCCATTTGGTAGGTGAAAAATCTAAGGCACAAACAGGAAGGTAGACCCATCAAGTATATGTGGTAAAAAGTTCAGTTCTAAAATCTTAAATCTTTCTCATTCACTCTTCTGCTTCATATATTATGTTCTTTTTCTAACATTAAATATATTCTTTACTTTGAAAAACAAAAAGTATCTGAGAAGAACCTGATACTTTTAGTTATTTAAAAAAATAAAGTATATTAGAAAAGTTATAAGTGATTCTGATGCATGCTAAGGTTACCTTCTCCTGATTGAGGTATGCTAGGCTTCATTTTTTGGAAACCTATACTGCTTCTCTCATTTTTGCCCCTTGGCTAGAAGTCTTGAACTTCACATTAGTTTCCTAATGCTGTATTCCTACTTATAATTCTTACATTGGGTAAGATTTTTTTTTAATCAGTACTGGGGATCAAATTCATGACCAAATGCTTGCAAGACAGGCACTTATACCGCTGAGCTAAATCCCCAGCCAAGAAGTGATTTTAAGCTTTATTTTTACCAAGTAATATTAGCTATTTGACAAGTCTCACTCAATGCTAATTCCCTTCCTCCTTAGCAAAGATGGTCGTTAGAACATAATTTCCCCCTTTCAGTGTTGGGGATTGAACCCAGAGCCTTGCACATGCCAAGTAAATCCCATGCCATTGAGCCATACCTGCAGTCCACAACACAGGTATTGGCAATCCTTTAAGTTATTTTTAGCCTCTTTTTTTCAGTCTTTGTTTTTGAAATGGATTACATATAGTTTTACTACTGATGCTGTCCGTGTGTTTGGTCAAAATATGTAAGAAATAACTCATTTAGATTTTATGGAGAAAAATAATTATTTTGCTTCTTTAGGACACCATGTAAAATTGAACCTAGTATAAACCATGTTCTAAGCACCAGGAAGCCTGGAAGGGAAGAAAGGGATCCCTTCGAAAGGGTTCAGAGTCATCAAGAACAGTCTGAGGAAAAGAAAGAGAAAGTGATGTATTGTAAAGAGAAGATCTATGCAGGAGTTGAAGAGTTTTCTTTTGAAGAAATCCGGGCTGAAGTTTTCCAGAAGAAATTGAAAGAACAAAGAGAAGGTATATATCGTGATATAACTGAAATTTGTGGAAATAATTTATTTGTGGGAAAGTTGAGCAAACACATTAAATCTGAGGAAAATAACTTCTATTTTTATCACTGTGTGATGTTTCTGTAATGGCACTGGTTCTCTTTGTATATAGGCAGAATTCCCATTGTTGCCTCCCACAAAAACTCATGGTGAGGAAAACTTGAGTCCATACTCAGGAGTAAAGGAGGAGAGAATCAGCTCTGAACTATGGGGACAGTTCATATTTCCCCATATAATATGCCCCAGCCATGCTCCTTGACACACATGTGCCAGAGTGTGTATTCCCCACCCCACTAGGGAATAAGGTTGCCTGGAATCGTTTGTTCCCTCTACCTATGATTCTGCACCTGAAGTTTCTCCAAGGCCTTTATGTAGGTAAACATACTCAGTCACACCCAGTTACTTAGAATAATTATTTGTTTCATTTCTTAAAGACATTATCTTTTTTTTTTTTTCCCCCCCTTTTTGAGACAGGGTCTCACTGTGCAGTTTAGGCTGGTCTTGGGCTCACTTTGTAGCCCAGGCTGGTCTCAAACTTGCAACATCCACCTGCCTCAGCCTCCCAAGTGCTGGGATTACAAGAGTGCGCCACCACACCCAGCTCTATTATCTTCTTTTTAAATTAAGAGTAGCTTTACTGTAAGTTGAGAAACTGAGAATTTTTGGAAAGTAGAAAACAGTTCCTATTCTGGAGCCTGGAATACTTAGAGGTGAGAGGTGAGGAAGAATGGGCTGAAAAGTAGGAAGTGAACCTGAGGGGCTTAAAGCATTAGAACATAAAACAGATGGAGAAAGATGCAAAAATAAAATTCATCCATTTAAACATTTTGATTAAGGCTTATCATCATGAAAGAAGAAAGTAAATTGTCTTTATACGCAGATATCCAAAATACCTATTATTGTAGCTCAGTTCTCTTGATAAGGTATTTGTAAGACTATCTGAAAAACTGAGGTATCACAATTTGAGGAAAAATCTTGAGTTTCAAGTGACAAATTAGACATAAACTTCCATAAAGCACACTGCTAGAAAACTTAGAATTGCCTTATTGTATCACCTAGGATCTTGCAAGATTGATGTGTGTTTTGGGTTCAGTAATATATTGAAATAGTCTATGTGTCTAGATACAGAAGGACAAAGCAAGACTAGTTGAGTGGTCTTTTTAAAATAGGAAAGGGCTGGGACTGTTGCTCAATGGTAGAGTGCTTGCCTACCTTGCACAAGGCCCTGTGTTCAATCCCAAGCAACACACACACTCCATTAATAAAATACACACCGAAGATAGCTAAATATGAGCCAGAAAAAGAACTAAAGAAATCTACCAGTTGTGCCCATTACACACAAATAAGATAAAAGTACGTTTTATTCTGGGGTTAGGTGGGATTTAAGTATATCTACTCAAAAGAGGTACAGACCTATTAAAGTTTTAAAATTCTGGTTTCATAAGCTGACCTCTGAATCTAATTCATGAATTTGTAATCTCTCATCTGAGTATATTTTGTACCTTTGTAAATCATGCTTCTTATTATTTTGAAACCTGGTTTCAAATACTGTTCTTATTAGTACTTTAAGAGATGGAAAAAAGAAAAGAGGAAACTATAGTCAGGTCCTCAAGACAATATTGTTCTTGGTGTTTCCAACCATTTCCCGCCCTTTCTTCAAAGAACTCTAGCTTCATCTAAGCACAGTGGCACATACCTGTAAGCCCAGCCACTCCAGAAATTGAGACAGGAGGATCACAAATTCAAGGCCAGCTTGAGCAAATTAGATCCTGTCTCAACAAAAAGAGAGAGGGATGTAGTTCAGTGGTAGAGCATTTTTATATGTATGTAGCCATTGGTTCAATTCCCAGGACCAGAAAACCAACCATGGGCTCCCATTTATACCCTCATTCTTGGTGTTTCACCAAAATTTCACTCATTAACTTAGTGTGCACTCTACCACTAAGCTACAACACCAGTCCTATTGGGTACGTTAGTTTCTTACATAGGCAAAATAGAATTACTGATTTCTGCCACATACCATATCCAGGCTTCCTCACTTCAATAAAAGGTATCATGCACCTCGTTGTTTAAGATAAAAATATGTGGGTTGTCTTTGATTCCTCTTTTCTTACCATTTCCCCATATCTAACAATTAAACTTACCAACTCTGCCACCAAAATGTTTCCCAAATTTTTATTTTGTCTCATTCATACAATGGTGTTTCCCTACTTCCTACCCTTTATATTCCTACCCTTGTATTTTGCCTTTTTTTTTTTTTTTTTTTCTTTCTGTTTTTTGGTACCGGGGATTGAACTCACAACCTTCTGCCTTTCTGGCAAGAGCTTGAGCCACTGAGCTAAACCCCTGGTCCATGTATTTTGAAATAGTATTAAAAGTGAGCCTTTTCAAAGTGATTATTTCAGGAATAGGAATTCTTTATATTAATAAAAGTAGTACCTTCATAAAAGAGACCTCAGAGTTCCTTGCCTCATCTACGATGGGAGAACATAGCAAGAAAGTACTATCTGTGAGCTAGAAAGTGGTCCTTTATCAGACACTGAGTCTGTTGAAACCTTGATTTGGAATTCATCCTCCAGAAGAAATGAATTTCTGGGGTTATTTGTTTTGTTTTTAATAAATCACATAATGTGTTTTTTTAGAGTAAGTAGCTGGAACAGTCTAAGATACCCAATGTTTACCCCAATGCAAGCCATAGTTTTTAGTTGAACTACTGTAACTTTTTCCCTCATTCTTGTCCTACTACAATCCATTTTATTCACAGTAGATGATATTTATAAAAAGTTAGATCATGTCTTCCTTTACTTAAAATTCTTTAATGTCTTTTCATTTTCTTAGACTATAATGCATACTCTTTACCCTGACCTATAAAAGCCAAATAACTTGGTCCTTGCTTACTTTTCCAATCTAATTTTTATTAGTATGTTACAACCAAGCTGACCTCCTTTTGGATTCTAGAACACAGTAATCTTCCTTCTCCATTATGGAACTGTCTCCAGATATTTGAATGACTAACCGCCTTATTACTCAAGTTTCAGTTTTATCATTACTTTATGAGACAAAGCTTCCCTGATTACTGACTGGTCTTTAGTAGCCATTGACTTCCATACCTGGAATCCATGAGTATTCCATCCAGTAATACTCTTACATCACCTATTTTAGGCTGGTGCTTTAAATCATGGTTTTCCTTTATCATGTTTTGTTTGAGATGATCTTATATTTCTCCAGGCTGTCCCCAACCTTGTGATCGTCCTGCCTTACCCTCCTGAGTACCAAGATTACAGACATGTGCCAGAACACCTGGCTGTAATTATTTTTTTTTTTGGTACCAGGGATTGAACTCACAACCTTGCACTTGCCAGGGATGCGCTTAAGCCACTGAGCTAAATCCCTGGCCAATTAGTTTTCCTATTAATTTGCAAATTTGTGTGTTTTTCCCCAAGTTTATATGTTTGTATTAGAGAAACAAAGACTTTATATTACACATCTCCGAAGTATAAGCTTTTGAGTTGTATTTCACACATAATAGGTAATGAGTTTTTAATTTGTTCTACTAGACAAAGAAACCTAGGTTTCAAATTAAGGACTTTCCTTATATAACTTTCATCTGTTACCATATGTATTGAAGGTATGAGTCCCAAAAGTAGTTTTTGACAGGGTAAATTGCTGTTGAGAATAAGATCTGTATTAATTTCACTATTTCTAGCTGAGCTATTGAGCAGTGATCAGAACATAACAGAAATGAAGAAACAGATTGAAGAGATGGAGAAGAAACTAAAAGAAATCCAAAATACTCAAAAAGGAAGAACAGGTGATCAGGTAATTTTTCTTTTTTCTTTTTCTTTCTTTTTTTTTTTTTTTAATAGACAAAGCTAACACTCATTAAAATACATTTAACCAGTTGTTTAAAATTCAAGGCTCAAGGGATCAAACCCAGGATTTTAGATGTGCTAGGCAAGTGCTCTACCACTGAGCTACATGCCCAGTTTGAAATAAATGTAGACAATACAGAAGTATAGAAAGTTAAAATTCTCCCAACACCTGTCCAGTTTTTGGTATTTCATTAATTATTAGTAGCAGCAAAGTTGAGCAGGAAAATAATTTTTAAATGTAACCTAGCAGATGATTTATAACGTGAAATAAATGACATAATGTATTGACTTTTTAGTGATACTTCATTATTTTGTTAATTCTGATTTTAGCCTTTTATTCTGATCATGTTCCATTAGAATGAGGTTAATTAAAGAATTCATTATGTGCCCAAGCTCACTTGAGTACAGATGAGCAATGCCAGGATGCAGTAGGAGCATGAATTATTGGAAATAACTTTTTTAATAGAGATATTTCATGTGACGAGCATCTAGAAAACTATAGTAAAGCTAATGTTGGAGCTAGTGCTTGAAAATAGGCAGCAATGCTGGTCATGATGGCACACACCTGTAATCACAGCACTTGGGAGGCTGAGGCAGGAGGATCAACACAAGTTTGAGGGCAGCCTAGGCTACCTGGTAAATTCAAGGCCAGACTGAACTATATAGTGAGAGTCTGTCTCAAAAAAAGAAAGAAGAAAATAGGCAGCATATTTTGGATGAGAAGGACATTGATTTTTGTTTATTTTAATGTAACAGCAAGAAGAAAGAGTGCCTGCAGAGGAGATAGCTGAACTGCAAATTGCATCTGAATCTCAGGAAGTACCCATAGTGGGTCCATCTGGTTCTGTTGGTCCAGTGAACTTTTATCCTGGGTAAGAGCACATTGGTGGAAAGCATAATCCTTATAGGGATTATTTAGAGCCAGCCATGGACTTTTTAGTAACTTGAAGACTCCTTAACTTTAACAGCATTGAGTCATAATTTTTGTAAGCCTCTTTCACAACATAAACTTTGATGAGAGAAGATAGAGTGCTGGCTTTTTCCATTAAAAATACATACTTTTGGGCTGGAGATATAGCTCAGTGGCACAAGCGCCTGCCTTGCAAGTACAAAGTTGTGAGTTCAATCCCCAGTACTTAAAAAAAAAAGCATATTTTCTTACAGAAATATAAATGATTTTTTTTAAATCAGTCAAGTCTTCCACAAAAAGAACTACTGTTAATAATGATGTATCTCCCCTTTTTTGTATTTTTGTTTTGCTTTATAAAAATAGCAGCTTACCATTTTGTAATCTATTTAACTATTAATGATTTAACATCTATTGTCACGTATACTTGAACAGTACTTTTAATAACTAAGGCTCCATCTTTAAAAGAATTTGAATTGACAGTGTTAATTATCTTAAAATTATATTTAAGGGGAAAAGACTCTTAGACTTTTAAAACATTAAATAGTTCTTTCTGTGGGTATTGAGCATCTTTTCAAACAAATTTTATCATAGGAAAACTTCACTTGCAGACAACATTTGGCAAGAGCAACCTCACTCCAAAGGTGAGTTGTGTTTTACAGTCTCATTAAGAACTTGCTAATAAGGGGCTAAGGATTTAGCTCAGTGGCATAAGCACCTGTCTGGTACTTTGGGTACCAGGGATTGTAAGTTCAATCCCTGGTACCCAAAAAAATTTAAAAAAAAAGAACTTGCTGATAACATGCATTATTAAAATGGTAAATATTTGCTGGGAGAACATGACAGATAGATAGCAGCAGCTTCGGAGGCTCTCTGAGAAACTGCACATAAAATCCAGGAATGGTGCCGGACGAGAAGTCCTAAGCAAGGGGAGATATACTTTGCTGACCCAGGAACGAACTAAACTAAGAGAAACCAACTGGAAACACAATCCTGGTGATATAATAGGAACAGATAAGGTCTCAGCATGGAAGTTGGGGCCCACGCCACTGGAAGCCGTGATTTGAATTTCCTGCTGCCGCTGCTGTGTCTCATTCAGCACGGCAAGGAGAGAGGCGCGAAAGCTCTGAGAGTGGGAAGCAGTGAATGGAGTTGAGAGCAGGACTGGCCAGGAGCCCTGCATTGACCTGCGGTGAGTGAGCAGATCGGGGACCCTTACATAGAGTCTGAGGCTTCAGCAAAGGACATACTGGGACCGGGCAGACTAGCCAGAACAGCACTGCAGTGCCTTCAGTCACATATTCCCCTCTCAAGCGGGATTGGTGGGGAGTGCCTGGCTTGGGTGACGCTGCTGACTAAGACCTAGTAAGGTAGCCCAAACCAGGTCCCAGCACCTGGAGGTGCACCCTAGCGGTGAAGCCTTCAGTAGGTTGACCTGGAGGGGCGGGCCCAGCATAGGATGCCCAGGTCTCTGTCTCCCTAGTATACTGCAGTGGGCGGGAACACCTAGCCGGCGCAATTCAAACAAACTGTAACCCACAAAGAAAGAAACTGGGCCTCCTATATACGCTTTTATAAAAGAAACAAAAACTGGGAAGAGGGAGCAACAAGAAAGGGTCCTCGGCCCCCAATCCTGAGAAACATGCAGTATCAGACACGGCACCAATAGACATATAGCGCTATCTCCAGAGCCTCATAGACGAGTTTAGGAATGAAGTTATTAATGACCTGAAGCAAGATGTAAGTAGAATAGTTAGAGAAATGCTAAGCACCGCCCAAGAAAAAACAGATGGTGGAATGGAAGAACAGAAAAAAGGGAGAATTGTTTAATGGAGAAAATAGAGAAAACATAGAATACCTGAAGCAGGTTCAAAGAGATTAGCAGGAAACTAAAAACTATCAAAAACTGGCATCACATCTTGAAAGAAACTAAGGATAGATTATCTGAACTGGAGGGCAGATTTGTAATATGGGAGCATGAAATGAAAAACTTCTTAAAAATAACAAAAAAACAGCAACAATACAAAAGGCTAGAAGATGATAGGATCTATAACTTAAGAATTAAGAGCATATAAGAAGTAGGGACACAAACAAATGGACTACAAAAGCTATTCACAGAAATAATCCAAGAGAATTTCCCTAATTTAGCAAATGGTAAAGATACTCAGATGTATGAGACGAACAGGCCCCCAGCCACCTACAACCCAAACAGAGCTACACCCAGGCATATAATAATCAAAATTCCAGAAATCCAATATAAGAACAGAATATTAAAAGCCATCAGAGACAAGAAACAGATCACTTACAAGGGAACGCCCATCAGAGTTATGGCAGACCTCTCGGCACAAACCATGAAATCACAAAGAACGTGGGGGGAAATAATTCAAGCTTTGAAAGATAATAACCTCCAGCCAAGATTGGTATATCCTGCACAACTGTCCCTAGAAATTGATGGAAAAACATGGTGCTTCCAGGATAAAGAGGAACTAGAGGAATTTGCAAACACCATTCAACTCTACAGAAAGTACCAGGATATTCTAAAAAAGGAAAATACCAAGATTCCAGAAATAGTGGCAGAGAGGCCACAGTGAATGGAGCAGACAGCGAAATAAAGAAGACAAACTGACAACAAACGACAGAAAAAGAGCTCAACAGAAATGAGGCAGAGAAGATCGATGGTAGGAACAGCTATTTTAGAGAAAACAAGACATCATAATAGCTAGTGCTGATTTAGTATCATCTTGTTTTGAAGTCCCATCAAACTTGTATTCTTCTGCCTCCATCGGTCTTAAAAGGTTGTATCTTATTGGATTTTATTATATATGATAATATAAGCAAAAACTTTTATAGACAAGGAGATTATACAGAAACCATTGTTCATTTTCTGTTAATTGGTTCTAAATACCCTGTAATAATGTCATTCTTTTGAATGGTTATATAGTGTCTTGATATGTTTGGTGCTACAGTATACGAAGTTATACTGAAAGATTTCAAGGAAAGAGACACTAATGGTAACTATTTTTATGTCAGGATATCTTGTGGTGAAACACTATTTAGCTTAAATGGTTATGTTTTGACCTGCACTGTTCTGTTGTTATGCCCTCTCATCTCAATCCTCCTTTTTTTTTTTAATTATTTACTTTTTTTATTTTTATCTTTTTAATTAATGGAAAAATAAAAAATAGCAGGATACATTATAGTAACCTACTTTGATTTCCTGTTAACCTGATTTGAAATCCTGTGTTGCCCTCACCATCTTGTTTTGACTGATTTTCCTTTTCTGCTTTGCTTGATAGTACCAAGTTCGAAAGTATAGGCAACAACTGTGAAGACAATAAGATTCATTATGATGCCCATTCTGGTTGACTATTATCTTAAAGTCCTATAATGTCTCCAGTGCTTTGGTTTTATTCTTTACTGTTTTGTTCAATTTTATTATAACTGGCAATTCTTAAAATAGCAAGAGGCAGAATGGTAACCATTGTTGATCACCTTGTATTTTGTTTTTACGTTATCTATTATGTCCATCCTTTTGATTCGACTGACTCTGTTCTGATATGTCGCATTCGGTTTTACTCTCTGCAAAAAAAGTAATAAGAACTATGGGAGTAATAAAGCTCAAAATGTGTAATTGTCATTGTACAAAAGAAAAGAAAAGAAAGTTCTCTAAAGGTTATAACTGCATATGTGTTTTAAGTTTTGTATTACTTGTACCCCTTTTGTTTTTTTTCTTTTTCTCCTTAAATTTAAAAAAAAAAGGAAAAAAATGGTAAATATTTTTCTTTAATTTTTTTTAAGTTACGGTAAAGTGGTTGAAAGAAGGCAGAGAGGAGAAACAGAGTATTATATCTTTGATGGAATTTGGTATGAACATATGATTTGAGATAGCCTAAGCATTTTTTTTTTTTTAATACCAGGGATTCAACACATGACCTTGTACTCTTGCTACCGAGCTAAATCCTTGTCCCCATGCATAGACATTTGAAAGACTATTTTCATAAAATTTTTCAATGCTTCGAATATTTGTTTTAAATATAACTGAATTTATATTAACCACCAACTCTATAATTACTGAATTCTGAACTAAGCATGTAATATCCAAGAATATAAGCAAGTGGTTTTTTGGAGGGAAGAAAAGGGTTTAAAAACTATATTCAAATTGGTTTTCTTTTCATTCAGAAACGTGTTAAAAGTGATAGAAGCATGAATATGAACTTACAAGTAGTTTTGCAAAAAATGCAATCTAGTTGAGTCTTTTATTTTTAATCACCAGTTTATAGGAATTCAGAGCATGGAGGAACATGTTAAAACAGATTGATGAGATGGGCATAAGCCAGCATTGTATAGCAAACAAGCCAGTTTCTCAAAAAAAAAAAAAAAGCCTTACAAAGTAACAGACATTTGAACTAGTGATGTATATGAATATTTCCAATTCAATCAAATTTTTGGACAGCTTTTTAAAAAGTCAATAAAATTTAGAATTTTTGACTAGATAGTAATATTTAGAAATCATTACTTATATAGGTGTCATGTCTTGAGGTTAGACTTTAAAGAGCCTTGTTTAGAAAAATGTATTGAAATATTTGCAGATGACATAATATGTCTTAGATTTCAAAATTCTGATGGATTGAGGAATAGCAGTATTGGTAGGAAAATAGATTGACACAAGATCATCCATATTTAGTTAACTGTTAAGTGAGCTTGACTTTTTATATATTTAAAGATTTTTTTATTATAAAAAATAGAAGCCAGGTGTGGTGACACATACCTGTAATCCCAGCACTTAGGAGGCTGAAGCAGGAGGATCATTGTGAATTCCAGACTAGTCTGGGCTGCAAAGTGAGCTGAAGGCCAGCCTGAAACACATAGCAAAACCTTGTCTCAAAAAGACAAAGAAAAGATCGCTTTCTGCTTTCAAACAGCACTGAATATTAATTTATCTAGTTGTCATGGGTAAAGCATTACATGTATATATCTGTGGCAGGGATATGGCTCAGCAGCACAAGTGACTGCTTGGTAAGTGCAAGGTTGTGAGTTCAATCCCTGGTACCAAAAAAAAAAAAAAAAAGAAGAAGAAGAATGTGTACATCTTATCTCTCTTTCTGTAGGTTGCAGTATACCTTTCTCCATTTTTGATGAGTTTCTTTCAGAAAAGAAGAATGAAAGGTTTGTTGTTTTTGTTTTTGTATTATAAGTTCTCTTACAAGTGAGAATGAAGAAGGGGTAGCTGTTAGCAGTGTAAACAAAAAGAATTACTAATGGAGTATGTCTTTTACCAGTCTTGCAGATCCCCCACAGGTTCTAGCCCAACGAAGACCCCTTGCAGTTCTCAGATCTACAGAAAACATCACCGCAAATGAGGATATGTCTCCAGATGTTTGTGTAAGGAGCAGTGTCCCTGTGTACTGTAAACATTTCATTTAGATCTTGCAAGTTAAGGGTTAAAATTAAAATCACTAACTTGAACTAAACACATGAAAAGATGCTCAGCATAGTCACCAAAGAAATGCAAATCAAAACCACAGTGCTGTAACTACTTTTCACCCACTGTGATGGCTGTAACCAAAGACAGACAATGCCAAGTGTTTGGGGCAGGGATGTAGTGAAATCATAACCTTTATGCATTGCTGATGGGAATATAAAATGGTGCAACTACTTTGGTAGTCACTCACACTGTTAAATTTAGAGCTATGATAAGACCCAACAGCATTCCCTCCCACTCAAAAGAATTAAAAACATGTTCACACATCAGAGAACTTATGCACAGGAATACACAGAAACATTATTCGTGATAGTCAAAGCAACCTAAGTGTCCACCAACTGGTGACTATATAAGATATTGTATATCTATATAATAGAATGTTACTTGCCAACAAAAAGGAATGTTATGGTTTGTGTCTGAGTGTCTCCCCAAAGCCTCATGAGGTCACGGGGAGCAGGCTTTTCAGAGGCAGCTGAATCTAGAGTTTGTGATTGGTTCATTGTCTAGAGCTGGAATTGATGTTACTGCTGCATGCATACTAGGGGGTGACTGCATACAATATAAGGGAGAAAAAGGTTTGCTCCTTTTTCCTCTTCTGCTTATTGTGTTTGCTATCTTCCACCCTAACCCTAACCATGAACTGTTGTCCCTCTGCCATGTGCCACCCTGCCCCCTAAGCCAAAGTAGACTAAAATGTCTACAAACTGTGAGCTAAATAAACATTTCCTTCCGTAATTTTGGGCATTAGGTATTTTGTCTCAGCAAAAAGTAAGACAAGGGGTAAAGTATTGATACATGTTAGGATATGACATGATCAACCCTGAAAACACAATGCTAAGTAAAATAAGCCACCACCAAAAAAAGTATGTTACATGACTCCATTGGCATGAAATGTCCACAACAGGCAAAAGTATTTGGGGGATTTCCAGAGGATTAGGGAGAGAGGGTGAAGGGAAATGACTACTAATAGGCATGGTTTTGGTTTTGGTTTTGGTTTTGGCCCTGGTTTTGGTTTTGGTTTTGAGCAATGGTTATATTAAACAGGGGTGATAGTTGTACAACCATGTGCATGTACTAAAAACCACTGAAATGTATACACATTTTATGTATGCAAATTAGATCTTTTTTTTAAGACAGGGTCCAGGCTGGCCTTGAACTCACTATGTAGACCAAGTTGGCATCAAATTTGCAGCAGTTCTTTGGAGTCCTAGGATTATAGGCGTGTGTCATAGTTTAAGCTGTAATCCCAGCACTCTCAAGGCTGAGGGGGATCACTGGGAGTTCAAGGCCAGCCTGAACTACATAGTAAAACCCTGTCCCAAAATGACAGTTTAAAGCTATGTGGTCTGGGAATGGTAGTATATACCTATAATCTCAGCACTCTGACGATTGAGGCAGGATTGCTACGCTAGCCCAGTCTATATACTGAATTCAAGGGCAACTGAATTACAGAGACCCTGTCTCAAAAAAAAACTCAAAAAACAGTTTAGCTATGTAGTCCAGGCTGACAACTTTCATTCTTCCTGTCTTAGTCTCCCAGGTACTCGCAAGTTATACAAATATGTGCCACAAATTAGTCTGTCTGTTTGTTTTGAGTTAGGGTCTCACTATGTAGTTCAAACTAGCCTTAAATTCTCTATGAATCCAAGGCTAGTTCAATCTCCTTGCCTCAACCTCTGAGTGTTGGGATTACAGGCATGTGCCGCTACACCTGGCTCAAATTAGCTAAAGTGTGGAATATTACTACTTTGACAGCCTTTTAAAATACTATATTCACTTTTTTTTGAAATGGGATCTCACTATGTTACCCAGGCTGCAGACTCCCAAGAATGTGGGATTACCGGTATGTGCCACCATAAGCAGTTTAAAACTTTTGACTTTTTTAACCAACATAACAAATGATAATAAATATATTTTGTGGCAATAGAAACCATTTTTTCTTTTGTAATACTCTTTTTTTCAATTACTTTGGACTAGTGACATGGTGATTCCTGAGTCTAAAGAGACCCTGCATAAACATTCAAATCAATAATTATCAGTTGCATTTCATTGACATGATAAGACAAATCATCTTTCCTCTTTTATTCCAGCATCTGGAAACGTATGAGGTTAGAGAGATGATAGTTATTAGATGATATTACTATATTATGTGATCAGTAGCTTTGTTGACTTAAATCAGTATGTTCTGCACATCCAAGGGAATGAATTATTTGGAGTAAATTTTTAAAACATGAATTTTCTTTTTATTTACTTTATTGAGGTATGATTATATATAGTAAACTACACAAATATTAATTGTAAAAATGGCTGAATTTTCACAGCTGTGAATATTTGTGCTATTTTATCCCCATGCTACAGAATATTTTCAGCAACTTAAAAGAGCCTAGGTAGACTTGTATAACAGAGGTAGTCAGTCACCATCCCAGTTATTTGGAATTAGAATTTCCAGGGAAGAAATTATGTATTGTAACATATTAAACTATGATTTTTGTTTGTTTTAAATAATTCCCAGATAATTCAGACATGGTCAATTCCCTGAGTCCTATGAGAAGATAGTAATGCAAAAGAGTAATTATATACTTTGTTCTAGAGAACACCACTAGAGAACATAATGCTTAGGCTGATTTTGGATACAGTGGTTCTGCTGTTCATGTGGATAGGCTGAATTATTAAAGGACTCAGTCTTCACATATTTTTCTCATAAATTTTACTTGAATATTATTATGATCTCTTCCACATTCTTGTTTGTTTGGGGACTTCTGTTTTGTTTTGTTTTGATTTGATTTGCTTTTTGTTTGTTTGTTTGTTTGTTTGAGACAGATCTTATCATGTAGTGCAGGCAGGCCTTAAACTAAGACAAAAGCGTGTTTTAAAGGTATAATAAAAATGTTAGATTGGGTAATACTGTAGTATTTCAGGTTTTTTTTTTTAAACTTTGTTTTCCATATTTTCTATCATTATGAATTACATTTAAGAAATAAAATAAAAATTAAGCATGTACCATAGAGGAAAAAAACTGAAAACCAGGAGGATAACAGATTCTCAGTATTTTATAAGTGACAGCTAGAAGAAAAATAATATAGCCGGGCGTGGTGGCTCATGCCTGTAATCCCAGCACTTGGGAGGCTGAGGCAGGAGGATCGTTGCAAGTTCAAGACCAGCCTAGGCTACAAAGTGAGCTTAAGTCCAGCCTGAACTGCATGGCACGAGACCCTGTCTCAAAAAAGAAAAAAAAGAAAGAAAAGAAAAATAATATTAGTGCTTTAGTTATTAGGTGAAATTTCCTTATGTGGAAAATTGTCACAATATACTTTTTCTTGACATATAGTTTGATACAAAGCCATTTTTTCCTCAGATAGTATCCTGTGCCCTTTAAAGTTGTCTTTACCTAATGTGCTACTTACATATCCTGTGTCAGTGATCTGATAATGCATGTCTCAAAAAAATGATAAGTCGAGCAACCCATTCAGGGCCCCTCCTGTCTCATAAGAGGCTATTCTATTCCCCATTCTTCTTCTCCAGTAGATTTCTTACTCTTAAAAGAAAGATACATTATTCACATGTTCACTGAAATATTTCAGTGGGACTTTCTTTGTTTTTTATTTCAGGATGAACTTACAGGAATTGAGCCATTGAGTGAGGATGCCATTATCACAGGTTTCAGGAATGTAACTATTTGTCCTAACCCTGAAGACACTTGTGACTTCACTAGAGCAGCCCGTTTTGCATCCACTCCTTTTCATGAGATAATGTCTGTAAAGGAGCTCTCTTCTGATCATGAGAGGCTGTTGCAGGAGGAAGATCTAGATGCAAAGACCTCTGAGGACCAACACACTGCATGTGGCCCTACGTATGATCCAATCCTAAGCATCAAGAAGCTAAGGTGATTGAGGCTTACAGGTTTTCCAGACCAGAGCATTAGCTCTCATATTCTGCATGTGCTCAGTTACAGTTATCAATTACCAAGCTCTTGCTGTGTGCTAGAGACTGAGCTACTAAATGCCTTAAATGAGATTAGGGCTGCCCCAGATAAAGTATCAATGGTATTTAGTAGTTGTCTTGATATAGTAACAGTAGTACATTTGAATGGTTATAAGAGATCCAGGAGGATTTTGATACCATTAAAGAACACTCAGCAAAAGTATAAGTAATTAGGAAATAAAAAATGTTTAATTTCTCCTTAATTTTGAGTTTAAAATAATGGTAGCATTGCTGATGTTCATTTCAGATAGTGAACTAGAGATATATTTAAAAAGTGTGTTTTGAGGCAGGCATGGTGGTATGCCCTTATAATCCTAGGATCCAGGAGACTAAGACAGGTGGACTATGATGAGTTTGAAGCCAGCCTAGGCTACATGACAAAACCCTGTGTCAACCCCTCCCCAAATGTTTATTTCAATAGGTAAAAATGAATTAGGAATAGATATGAGAGAATAGTATAGAAAGTCAGAGAGACTAACTTGTGATCCACTCTTTTCTTTTTTGAGGCAGAGTCTCACTATGCAGCCCAGGCTGGCCTCAAATTCATAACAATCCTCCTGTCTCAGCCTGTCCAGTGCTGAGATTATAGGAGTGTGCCATCATACCATAAGTCAAGGTCCATTCATCTTTAAAATTTTGTCAGCTAATTTAAACAGATTCTAATTTTAGTCTTTAGTTTGCCAATCTGTACTTCTAACACAGAATTTTCAAATTTTCCCTTTTTTTGCACAGCATGCATTTCATGTTGTACAAATTGAGTTTCTCTTTTTCCTTTCTTGACATTTTCTTACTGAAAACTAAAAAATTCAGAGAAGGGATGAAGAGGAATAAGTGTCAGTGTTGCTCAGTATTTCTCAGTAGTATAGATTTAGTTGTAGAATGGGTATTTAAACTAGGTAAATAAAGTATAAATTCAGAAATGTAATTCTTGGCCTTTTTTATCAAGATAGAAGAAGTTATCTAGATTCTGATTCTATGTGAATCTATTTTTGACTTAGAATAATAGACTTTAAACATGAAACAAAATTATTACAAATTTTTAAATCAATTTTATTAAAAATACTCAAATTTGTTAATAAAAATATATAAAATTATAAGAAGGTAAGTTGGTATTTATTATTTCTAAGAGAATTGATTCATTATTGTTCTTTCAGCCCAATTATTGAAGATAGTAATGAAACTTCTGGCTTTTCTGGGTCTTCTGCCTCATCTGCAAGCACCTCCTCTATCAAAAGTCTTCAGATTCCTCAGAAGCTAGAGCTCACCAGTGAGACTACAGGTGGGATCATACAGCTGCCAAGCAGACATCTAGCTCCAGGCCAGTGAACACCTGTTTGTCTTGGCAAACTGAACTGTATGTTCTTCCTGGGAGAAGTTGCCAAGATTGTGCGATATCTAGAGTGAACTAGTACCATCTGGATATAGTGAAGAGCTTGCAGCAGACAAATGTAGTCAGATTGCCAGTGTTTATCTTTTTCTCCCTCCTCTGTTATATCAGTTTTAAACATTAGATTTTTCTTAGATGATGGTTTGCTTTCAACCTTTTTCCCTCCACAGAAAGCCCTATTCAATCACCCTGGTGTCCACAGTATCGTAGACAACTACTAAAATCTCCCCTAGAGTTAACTGCATCCACAGACTTCTTTGTAGAAGACAGTCCAATGCCTAAGTTGGAGGTAGAGGAGGAAATTGAATTAGGTAAGTGTGATAGAATGTGTGTCTTTTTTTCATGACAGTATGCAAATAATGATTTGTAGTTGAGCTTGACAGTTGAACACTGTAGATGCTTCTACATCTTTACAGTGTTCCTGAGAAACAGTACAGAATTCAGCCAATTGCTGCGCCAGGAATTTAGCTCAGTTGCACAAGTGTCTGCCTGGTAAGCACGAGATTGTGAGTTCGATCCCCAGTACAAAAAAAAAAAAAACTAAGTCAGCCAATTGATAATATCATGTCCCAGTAACAGTAAGAACTGTGTTTGCCTCTGTTGTTGATATTATTACTATTTTTGTGTGGTGCTAGGTTTGAGACCCAGGACCTTATGTAATAGGCAAGTGCTTTTACCGCTAAACCATATCTTCATTCCCATGTTTCATTTTTAACAAATGATTTTGGAAAATATTCTAGATGGTAAAGTCTGAAAGCTTGTGTCTGTTTACAGTGATTTTTAAGTAGAGTCAAACTTTCTCAACAGGTAATGAAAATTATTGTATTAAACAAGAATACCTAACATGTGAAGATTACAAGTTATTCTGGGGGGCACCAAGAAACTCATCAGAGTTAACCATAATTAAGGTAGGGCTGATTCTTTGTAATTTCACTTACTTTGTTAAAAAACAAGTAGGCTAAAGCAGTAACTGTCCCAATGGTGCCATGGAATCTTTCTGATAGTCTGTTGGCTTCCTCTTAGGAGAGTCAGTGAGCCTTAAAGAAATCAGTCACCAGTTAGGCCAGGATCACATATCAGAAATAAGAGACCATTGTGTAAATCTCTCAATAAGATTAAACATCCTATTAATTTGATCTGTTTGAAGAAATCTGTGCTAAAATTTTGTGACCTGCTTCATTCTGGACAAGTTATATTGTAGGCTTGACACATATAAGAAGTTATATGGAAATTTCCATTCTGTGGTATCTTGGGTATTCAAGTTACCTTTTGTTATACTGAATACCCAGTTTCTTGAATCCTATTTTTTCTTCTTGTTTTTGTTTGTTTTGTTACCTATACTACAGATTGAATCCAGAGCCTTTATACTGAGCTACGTTCCCAGTACTTTTTTTAATTTTGAACCAGGCTGTCACTAAGTTGCCCAGGTCAAGCTCAAATTTGTGATTCCTTTGCGTCAGTCTCCCAGAGTACTGCGATTATAGGTATTTACCACCACACTCAGGTTGCTTTTTTGGTTTAATTCCTCATCTTTTAGAAGAGTACATCCTTTAGTAACTTCTTGAGAAAGGGATGGGATTCAAATGTTTTACATCTTTAACTTCCTTATTGTGCATTTTTACTTGATAGTTTGGCTGGATATAATAAATTTTTCAGTGATTTTTTCCCCCCCTAGAACATTGAAGAGCTGTATTATCTTTAGACATCTAAAGAGACTTTAGAAGTCTTGCCATTCTAATTCTTTTTCTTTCTTTTTTTTTTTTAAGTATTCATGTGTTTAATTTGGGCTGGGAATTTAGCCCAGTGGCATAAGTGCCTGCCTGAGAAGTGTGAGGTTGTGAGTTCAATCCCTGGTACCAAAAAAAAATTCATGTATTTATTTAAAAAATGAAATGAAACAGTAATAAGACAGTAGGAAATCTATAATAGTTACTGTATTGCATATTGTTATCCTCTAAATAGTCACTCAGACTCCATTCTAAATCTTGAAACTTTGTGTAAAACTATTTTTTTCTCTCTAGATCCTTAGGAATCTTACTTTCTCTTCAGTGTTCTGAAATCTCACAATTATATGGTTTGGTACAAGTCTATGGTCACCTGTGGACTATGTACTCAGTGGCTGTTTCAGTCTGGAAACGCCTTCAGTTCCAAGAAATTTTTCTCAGTGAAAAAAATTTTCTCTATTTTCCTTGTTTTGTTATTCTTTACCATGTTCCTGCTGGCTTGAACCATTGGTGCAGCATGAGACAGTCCCATGGAGTAGTACAAGCCATCCAGTAGAACTGTCATGCAAATGAACACCTTCCTTACAATTCAGATTCTGCTGAATAGTACCTCTAAACATCTTACTTTTCTTCTCCAATTTCCTATCTCATTTATCTTTTTGCTTCTGATAATGCAATCATTCCTTCATACCTGCAGGGGATTGGATCCAAGGCTTTCAGCAGGGTGCTGAAATCTAATGATGCTCATGTCCCTTGTATAAAACAGTATGACATTTTCATATAACATATGTACATCCTCTGATAAACTTGGAATCACCTCCAGGTACTTAGAATGCCTAGTACATTGAAATGCTATGTGAGTAGTCATTTTATGTGTTATTTAAAAAACAGAAAGAAGATATTTTGTACATGTTTAAGAGAGATGCACTTGTTTTTCTCAAGTATTTTTCATTGATGGTTAGCTGAATTCTTCAAAGTAGAACTTGCAGACAAATTAACTATTACTTTATCATTTTATTTTCAGCCCTTTTACTAAGTTTTTAATTTCTTTCATCTATATTTAATTTGCAAGTGCCCTTTTTCATTCTCTGAATTTCCTTTGTAGCATTCTATTCTTCATTTCAGTGACAGAATATTTTCTAAGATATTCATGATACTTAATTTTTTTTCCTTGCATTGTTTCTTTCTGTTTTTCTCTTAAAATTTTCTTTCAAATTAGAGGCTTTCAGTCTGCGGATTTAGCTCAGTAGCGTAAGCTCCTGCCTGGCAAGAATGAGGTTGTGAGTTTGATCCCCAGTACCAAAATAATAATAACAATAATAATAATAATTAGAGCCTTTCTTTGACTATTTCGCTCCCTATTCAGATTTAATTTTACTTCGATTTAATACTACAAGCTGACTGATAACTGTGTAGATAAGGGAATGTGAAGAGTAGTGGACTTTGCTGTAGGGTGATGTAGTTGGTCATTTTATTGGAAAATCCTTGTCTTTAGATCTTTTCCCTTGAGCTGATTAGATCCTCCAAAAAAAAAAAGATTTCTGGTTTTCTGCCTAGAGCATGTAAGCCTGACTGCTAGCTTTCTGAAAGATGGGCAAGGAAATTAGTCTAAATAAGGATGATCGGGAAGTGCATCTTTTCATTTGATATGTAAACTTTTTCCTGGTGTCCTTGTTTCCATCTTCATTGGTACCAAATACCCTCTGGTCCAGAGCCCTTTTGTTCTAGGGAATAAACATTTGATCTCCTGTAATAAAAGAGAGGCAGTTGCTAGGCTAGACTAAAAGAACAGGAGGAAGAACATATGGTCTAACTTCCCCCTAAAGTGGGGTTCAGTCTTTTCTCTTTTAGAACTCTTACCTTCAGCCTTACTTCCATAGATGGTTGGTGCTGCCAGTTATATGCTCTGAGGTGATCTTGCACATTAAATATGGTTACTTTTCAGTTTTCTCCACTGTTAGAATTAGCTTTCCTTGATTCTTCTAAGTAAATTATTACTTTTCTCTCCAGCTTACAAAATTTTGTTACTGCTTTGTTCTCTATTGTAGTTTCAGGCCTTTGAAAGCGTCTCTTGGGCCAGGGGACATAGCTCAGTGGCACAGTACCTACCTGGTACTTGTAAGGTCCTGAGTTTGATAGCCAGAACCCAAAGGAAGAAAAAAAATTGTCTCAGTGGCTGGAGATGTACCTCAGTCGTAGAACACTTGCCCAGCATATACATGGCCTTCAGTTAGATATCCAGCACTGGGATAAAAATAAGTTCTTTTACTCTTTTTTTGTGGTGGTGTTGTTGTGGTATATGACAGCCTGGAGACAGAAAATATGTTTTCAATCTGCCAACCATAACCACAGATTCTAATTGCTCTTAATTTTAAATTATAATGTCTTACAGGTGTCATCTCAGCCTGTCCCATGGGACTTCTATATCAACCTCAAGTTAAAGGAACGTTTAAATGAGGAATGTGATAAGTTTTGCAGCTGTTACCAATACCAAGATGGCTATATTATTTGGTACCAGTATATAAACTGCTGTACCCTTCAGGTGTGTAATAATATTAAAAATACAATTTAAAATCCTCAAGGAAAAAGATTTGTGCTCCATTTAGCAAAGAAGTGTGTAATATACAATTCCTGTCAAATTCTAGAAATAGACCAATTAAGTTATAAATTTAAAACATTATTTTTTTCTTTACCCAGGTTATTTTGACCAATGACTACTTCAGGTTTTTTTTATTTTTTAAATATTTCTATTTTAACACAAAAGGAGACAGTTATACAGTGAACTCCCATGAACTAGCCATCCATCTAGATTCATTGATGGCAAGCAAGAAGATTTTCCTGGTGATTTGATGGTAACATAAATTCTCTAAAATGATTGAAGTAGAAGTGTTTGAAAATATTTGTACAGTACCTCTTATATGTCAGTCTCATCCTTGATGCTCTTTATCTGTGATCTCTCTAAATCCTTACGATATTAAGAGAGATCATGGTATTGTCAAAAGTCAGAGATTTGGCTCAGCATACAGTCACTGAGGGAGCTGCAGAAGAGCAACTATCAAGGTATTAAGGATATGCAGTGGTCCCAACTTGAGAAATAATGAGTTTTCTATCCTTCTATTTTCAGGATCTTCTGCAGCATAGTGAACTTATTACCCCAAGAATAATCGTGTTGATTATTCATAACCTTCTGACACTAGTGGAGAAGCTTCACAAAGCAGAAATAGTCCATGGAGACTTGAGTCCAAGAAGCCTGATTCTGAGAAACAGGTTGGCCCTTTACATTGTTTTGTAATTGTCAGCTTTCTCTTAAAGCATGGGCTAGAGTGCCATATTATTGAATATACCGTATTTGCTACCTAAAAGTCAATAGTCATTGAGAGTAGTTTAAAAGAATTCAAAGAAAAAACCTTTGAGGAAATACACTAATTCATATAAAATATTCAGCAACTCTTGAGTATTGTGATGATTCTTTCTGCAAAATATAAAATACAACTATTTTTAAGAATGTGAAGGAGATTCTATCAGCAAGGTTGGCAGCAAAATAGAGGCACTGCTCAGTTAAAGACCAAAACATAAGTTAGGTCAAATTGAGATAATAATTGAGCCAAGAAAAGTTGGTAGAACCAAAGCACAAATACAAGCTATACCAAGAAAGGCTTATATTTCAAATTAAACTCATTGGATCCATCAGATTCGAGAGACAGGCACAGAGCAGGAAATAAAAATGAAGCCCAGATAATAACTGAAAAAATCTAGAAAATGTTGAGGCATGAACAGAGCAAGACAGTCCAAGATACTTATTTTACAAAGAAGTAGAGGATCAGCCCTATCTTTTAGTGACTGCTTAACTCATAGGATTCAAGTAAAGTGGCCTGAATTAAAGATGCCTTGTCTGCCCCAATCCTGTGTTCTAAGGTAACCAGTTAACTTTCTAAGATGATTACTGTACACTGGGAGCTACAATCTTCCTTTGTGTTTTTTCCCATTACTTAATCTTTGAGAAGAGAACTGAGTAGTTAGCATAGAAATGAAAAAGAACCTTCAATGTATTTCTGTAATTAAAATCAAAAAAATAAGATCACACCTTCTTTCCTGAGAGAGCAGTCTTAATAGCTTTGCCAGACAGACTATAGTAGACAGGGCCCCATAGATATTTTGGATGAGCCAGTTCTTTGTGCATGTCAGTTCTAAGCAATGCAGAATGCTTTATACTATCCAGAATTCCTCTGCCCACCTAATTAAGTGCAAGTAGTGTTCCCCCAGCTACTGTGACCACTAAAAATTCTTCCACATTTTTTTCAAGTAAGAGAGGATATAGTTTTTATTTTCACCCTATTTCATAACACAATTGGAGGGCAATCGGAGTTCTGAGTGCTGTGGAATTGCAAGCAGAGATATATTCTCAGCCTTTTTAAAGGGCATTTGTAAAGGGCTGGGGATTTGGCTCAGCAGCATAAGCACCTGCCAGATGAGCACGAGGTCATGAGTTTGACCCCTGATACCCAAAAAAAAAAAAAAAAAGGCCAACCAATAAAGGGCATTTGTGGCCTTTGTATTTAGATAGTCCTCTGGGCTTCTGGGGACTCCCAGGAAAGCACATAGTGTTAAAAGGATGTTGCTGAAGTCACTATTTTTATTTCTACAGGCGGGGGGTGGGGCGTGAGATTCAAACAACTGGAAGGTTTCCGCATCGCAACAAGTTAGTAGGTGATTCAAGAACTGAGCTTTCATGATCACTAAGCCCTATAAGAAATGTTTTTTCTGCTTCCAAGTTTTAAAAAGAATTTTTCCTTTATTTTGCTGGGTGTAGCTGCACAAGTTGATAATCCCAGTACTTAGAAGCTAAAACAAGGGGTTTATGAGTTTCAGTCCAATTTGGGCTAACTAGTAAAACCTTGTATGAAAAAGTGGGAAAAAAATTTTTTTTAAATTTATTTATTTTGTCTTTTTGAGACAGGGTCTTGCTATGCAGTTCAGGCTGGCCTTGAGCTCACCTTGTAGCCCAGCCTGGTGTTGAACTCACAACGTTCCTCCTGCCTCAGCATCCCGAGTGCTGGGATTACAGGCGTGAGCCACCACACTTGGCTCAGGCAAAATAATTTTTAAATGATCATAGGTTTATGGTGTTCAAAAATAAATTGTATCTTGTGCCAAGAGAAAGTGGGAAGAATTGTAAATTCTGAGATTGTGTTGTGGAGGTGTGTGATGAGATTAGAGAATTCCTATATTTACGGACCGAGGACCTACACATATCAGTTGAGAACAATCTATTCTTTTTTCTCAAATAGTTCCTGCATCTCCTTAGAGAATAGCTTTATTATGTAAAATATAATTAATTGATTGTGAGTTTATATTACATTTTCTTGGAAAGTAAAAGCTGTAATCATAAAAATAGGCTATGTTGTTAATTTAATAGAAACAAACAGTTTTATAATATAGGTAGCACTTTCCAAACTTTCTGTTGTTTTTCATTAAACTCTGGAAGGAAGACTCTTGACAATATATGGAAAGCCTGTCTTAACAAGTAAAAAGAAAGGCTGTAGGGCCTGGGGACTTAGCTCAGCGACATAAGCACTCACCTAGCAAGCACAAGGTCATAAGTTTGAGCCCTGTACCAAAAATAAAAAAGGCTATGGCATCTATAAAAGCTGTATTTTCTCTAGTCAAAATCCTTCCCAGGATATATATACCATTGCTATTACTAGGGAAGAAACCTTCCCTGTGTTTATTGTATAATATGGCAATTTGGTAAATGTTCCATTGTGGCTATGTGCTATGACTGAGATAGATACATTAAGTTACCACACTGACCTTAACACTGCCTGCTTGAGTGAACACTGCCTCTGTTCTTGTGTGTACATTTTTGTAATCAACCACTAGAGGGAGCTGGTGACATGCCTAAGTCATTCCTGCAAATTACTATTTTTTTAAGACTAATTATTGCAGCTTCTTTCATGGCCTGTTTATTATCTTTTTCTCTTGAATCTGGATTCAGAATCTATGATCCATATGAGTGTAATACGAACAGTCAAACTTTGAAGATAATGGACTTTTCCTACAGTGTTGACCTTAAGGTACAGCTGGACAGTTTTTCCCTTAGTGGCTTTCGGACAGTACAGATCCTCAAAGATCAAAAGATCCTGACTAACTGTTCTTCTCCCTACCAGGTAAGTATAAAACAACTCTGAGCAAATGTGAAGGGGGTTTCTTAATTTCTTCCTTACCTAGCTATGCTGTGAAAGCTAATGTTTACTGGTGTTGACTCTTAGAATAGACGAACTAATTTTTCAAATACTGTGTCACCAAGTTGAGTAAAATGTGCCATTTTTCTGCCACAATGCTGAAGGATATAAATATACATGTCCAAGCACATGATAATTCAGTAATCTAAGTGGCAGGAGCATTTCCACTACTTAGCATCTGTGTAGTATTCGTAAGTCGTATGCTATGATCTTAAGTGTTTATTCTTTGTACCCCAGAACTGTTATATTTAATGTAATATTGTATTAGAAAAGAATATTAAGCCGGGGATTTAGCACAGCGGCATAAGTGCTTGCCTGGCAATCACAAGGTCATGAGTTTGATCCCTGGTACAAAAAAAAAGAATATTAAAACAAGGCAGTGTTTTATATAGTGGCTGTCTTGGTTACTTTTCTCTCGTTGCTGAAATGAAATCCCCAACACCCAAAATTAAAGAAGGAGAGATTTATGTAGCTCAGTTTGTGGAGGTTTCAGTCCATAATCAGCTGGCTCCAAGGCACAGTGGCATGGCACAGGGACAACACTTTCAGGCAGCAAAGACAGCAAAGGCAGCAAGAGCAAAAAGTGGGGAGAGCAAGTCCTGTTTTCCTCCCTTGTATTGTAAGCAGCCTGTGCCCCTCCAGTGAGGGTAGCACTCACACCATCTCCATGCCATGCTCTTGAACAAGCTTAGGATATTTACAAAGTAAAGACCCTGCCCACCTGCTGATTCACTTAGTTAAAATTCTGACCGTCTCAAATTAACACAAGGAACAACATCCTAGAGCTGTAATGGTTAGTCCTCTAGAGACCAGGATGTAGAGCTGCTGATTTACTTTGTTAAGCTTCTAGTCTCAAATTGACATAATGTATCAACTATAATGGTGGCATTATATGCAAAAATCTCTTCTGACTGAGAAGGCCTTTTGCTATCTGAATATATAGATGAATCTGAAATAAGTCACCTGGCCCACATTTAGATCATAGCTAGGGGGCTAGGGATTTAGCTCAGTGGCATAAGCACCTGCCTGGCAAGCGTGAGGTCGTGAGTTTGATCCCTGGTAGGGGAAAAAAAAAAAAATAGATCATAGCTGGAATCCATGCACATGCTGTAGTAGGTTTGCACATTTGATCTGATAGTCAAGGGATTGTCTTTTTTGTTTGTTTGTTTGTTTTTTTGTCTTTTGTTCTTAAGGATAATACCTAGAATTGGTTCTATGGATGATTTCTTAGGGAAGCTTCTCCCTTTGCTATAAGGAAAAGGAACAGTCCACTAATATGTATATCATAGAAAAACTTCAAGTTCTGTAATATCTTTAGACTTTTCTATAAATAAGCTGCCGTGGTAGCTGATGGTGCTTCTTGTGATTTCAGGTAGACCTGTTTGGTATAGCAGATATAGCACATTTACTGTTGTTCAACGAGCACCTACAGGTCTTCTGGGATGGGTCCGTCTGCAAACTTAGCCATAATACTTCTGAGTAAGTATTGGTGATTTCAGGGTCTTTGCCTAATTTTTTCTCCCTCAGGTACCACATCTGCTTTAATAACCTTAGTTTTCTAAAACCAAACGATGTGGTTTTGGTTATTTCAACCTGTTTTTATTAGAGTATCAGGGGATTAACTGCTAGTTAAAAATAAGACACAAAGCCCGCCATGGTGGCTCATACCTACAATACTAGCACTTAAGACACTGAGGCAGGAGAATCACTGCACGTTGAAGGCCAGCCTGGCCTACAAAGTAAGTTCAGGCCAACCTAAACAAACCCTGTCTCAAAAAGACAAAAAAAAAAAAAATTAAAATTATACATAAACTATTTTTTTTTTGTTTCTTTTTTTTTTGTTTTTGTTTTTGTTTTTGTTTTTTTAATTTTATTTAAGGAGAAAAGAAAAAAAAAGCAGGGAAAGGGTACTATACATAAACTATTGAGACTCGAGGACACTCTAAACCTAGATAAACCATTCAGATGACTAGTGTGAAAACTGTTTAAAGTGTTAATAGAGATGTTTTAGAAAAAATAAGTTTCTTACCATTGGTGTTAGTCTTTAACTCTTTTAGTAGCTGTGTCATCAAAAGTTAATAAGCATCTCGAAGAAAATTTCTAAATTATATACTGATTTGAGGCTATTATTTATGAAATGAGTGTATAAAACCAAACCAAATAACCAACTCTCCTGGTGAAGGTGTTAATGACCCCTTAATAAGAGCTGCTTGGTCTCGGAACTTAATTATTCCCTCAAGCCTGCTCATAAAACTTATTAAATATCTATGTTCCACTATAACTTTTCTGAGCTATAACTTCCTACCATAAGTTTACTAGTTTATGACTTAAAGATTCTTTGTTTTTTAAAAAAAATCAATGTTGAAGATATAATGCTCCCTCTTCACTTTCCCCTCCAAACCATGAGAATACTAGGAATTGAACTCAGGGCCTCACACTTGCTAGACAAGATCTAAACTTCTAGTTAATATCTCCAGCCATTTTTGTTTTTTACTTTGGGGCAGGGTCCCACTGAGTTGCCCAAGGTGGCTTTCAATTTGCATCTTCCCGCATCAGCCTCCAGAGCAGCTGGGATTATAGGAAAATGGTGCCAATGTGGTTCTTACATGTGCTCTTTAAATAGTCTTAAAATACAGTGCAAGATATAGAAGATAATCCACCACAACTGGCCATGATCCATGCAACACTGGCCAACACAGCAGAAGTGGGTGGAGTCAAATAGCGGCCCTACCTTGGACAATGATAGAAGTTCTCTGATGAAAGAAAATAATAAAAGCACACACACAAAAAAAAGTTTAAATTTCAGTCATATTTAGGATTCTCAGAGAATTATAATGACAGTAAACTACTTGGAGAGGTGAGGAATTAAGAACCTAGACTCTAGAAAAGTTAGAGAAAGGAAATAAAAATTCTTTTCTATTTGTAGAGAAAAAGTACTTAATTGCTATCCCTTAGTATGAAAGGAACTTTATAGGTTCAGATAAGAGAATTTCTCATTTTGCACGTTGAGATACAGTGTCTCTTGCTATGGTAGATTCCTTTTAGAGTGTCTCGGCTTTCATAGGATTGTTTGAATGATTCCTGACCCAAGTTCTAGGTGTTACCTTAAGTCACTTTTGTGCATTAACATACTGCTGAGTTAAAATAAATGAGAATTCTGATTTTTCATATGCCTAACCTTGATGGAAATGGCTTTTATGTACTTTTAGGCTAAAAGATGGTGAAATATGGAATAAATTCTTCGTGCGGATTTTGAATGCCAGTGATGAGTCTACTGTTTCTGTTCTGAGAGAGCTTGCGACAGAAATAAATGGGGTCTTTGACCCCACATTCCAAAGTCACCTGAACAAAGCCTTGTGGAAGATAGAGAAGCTAATTAATCGTGGTGCTTTGCTCTTTCAATAAGATAAGTAGGTAGGTCTCATGGATTTCTGCCTAGAACTAGTGGTTACACTGAGGAACCCTGGTTTGTATAGGCTGTATTTTAACTTAGAGCACATTCAGACACACTACCAGTACTTCTCTACTTTGGGTAAAGGTATATTTCTGAGTAAACAGTGATATACCTACCCTTAACCTTATCTAACTGTAATATAGAACTGTTCTGTTCTGAATGGATTCCCTAAGATAAATACTCTATTGTCATAGATCCTTCGTGGTTCTTTAACCCTTCTGTCCCCCCCTATACTCTTGTACTCTTATGGTTATTACTGTTTTGTAAAAAATAAAATAATATTCGTTAAATTTGTGTTTCCCACCATTTCATCCACCTTTTGCAAACTACAATAATAAGTGATTTAATTTTGCAGAGATGAGTTATATATCCTATACTTTAAACAATTATGATATGATTGGAACAATAGCCAGCCATTAGTGTTCCTAACCTTCAAGTAAGTGGTCTTGGGTGAAAAGTAGATAAAATGATGTACCAAATGACAAAATTGTATTTTGTATGTATGACTATATATTTACATTTTGTATATATGGCTTTTTCACTTTTATTCACCAATCCTTGATCTGTTTACATGACTCAGTAGTGCTGCTGTTACTGGGTCTCTTGATTAGGAATGTGGTTATTAAAAAGAAACAGAAAACATTTGGAAGAGTATTTAGCAAACTTTCAGAAAAGGAGTAATCACCATTCTACTATCACATGTGGAATGAACTAGAGGCAAGAATCTGAAAAAATAAAAGGGGGCTTTGTTTAAAAGACTTGAGGAAGTAGAAGGTCAGAATAAAAAGATAACTTTAAAGCATGGAGTGATATGGGAGAGAAGAGACCTAGAGGAAGTGCTAAACACCCAAAAGGAAACATGTTTGCCTTCAGAATGCAGAAGAAAATTGACAGAAGAGGGCAATGGGAATGTGTAATTATCTGTTCATATCTAAATATCTAAGATGTCTTCATACTGGTGCCTGGTTTGTTTCTCTTTCCAATTGCCACTGTTAGTGCTCTAAGATTGCTGAGAAACAAAAATCCTAAGTATGTCTCAAGTAAAAATATTTAAGCATATTTCATATAGTTGAAGGACTGAAACATAACTTGGATCTGAGACTATCAACTAAGAAATACTAAGAAAGCTCTTCTGACATTTGACAATTTGCTGGTCATGGTGATGGGAATGATGGACCTGTATCTTATGTAATCAAGGCCTCTAACCCATTATCTGCTCTTCTCACCTCGTTTTCCAACCTACTGCATTGACACTTAAAGTCATTTCTCTGAGACTGGGCAATAAATTTAGATTCCTTCTTACCATAAACTGAGCTACTATCTAATAGTGACTTCATCAGCAACCTTACAACAAGGCTGCCGTGTGAACAAAGCTTTGTTTCCAAAAGTTCACTTAGCAAAGGGACAAGAATCTATTAGATTCTCTATTAGAAAACTTGGAACTGTTTTGCCACTGCTCCTTCTGTTCCCCATCACTTCCCACCCCAAACCTGTAAAAGGAATAGAATGGCTCCTGACCAGTTAGGATTGTGATGTGTTAGAGTTCTCTCTGCCTAAGCTTAAAATCTGGATCCTTCCCCTTTCCCTTGTGTTGTATGCTTGTCCATCGTGAGAGAAGGAAGCCTTTTAAAATTCTTTTTAATTTTTTTTTCCTCTAGAAGATCTGAATGGTTCTTATTCCCTGTCTCAGTCAGGCAGGAATTAGCTTAATAGTGGACCTAGAGAAAAAAGATAACACTGGCAAAGGGATAGATGTTTCTCTTTTGTTTGAAAAGAGACCGTATAGCACCTCATCATTCACTGTGTGTATTCACTCTCCCTGTTAGCTTCACCCTTTAATGACTATTGTATAAGAAATCTTCTTATAAATCAGAGCACTCTTAATTGATGCCAAACCTGAATCTGGAAACTAAAAGACTTTTCTGTAGCAGGAGTACTTTGGACTGTTAGGTGACCTATTATCTCAAAGTAGATAGGAAACCTTTTAGAGGATTTAGCCCAAGACTTTGAAATAATGTCTGTAGGCTGAAGTCTTTAAGCAAAGACAGCAAAGAAATGCTTTTCTGTTGCTTCTGAAAGTGAAGGTTTCTCCCTTTGTAATAATTTGTTTCTAATTGGGATCCTAAAATTAAGCACTACTGAGGAAGATGAATTACATGGTGAACTTCAGCCTTAATGGGGTCTTTAGTCCCCACCAAAGACGGCTATGAATATTTAGTATAATAAAGAAAGCATTTCGGGAATGGGGATTTAGCTTAGCGACATGAGCGCCTACCTGGCAAGCACTAGGTTGTGAGTTCGATCCCTGGTACTAAAAAAAAAAGAAAAGAATAGATAGTGTTTCAAATCAGTATGGGAAAAGATGGGTTACACAATAACAGTGTTGAAGTAACACGTTAGTAGAGCTTTAACTCTTTCCAGTGCCACCAATGATTTATATAGCACCTGTGTGCAAACTGGATATAGATCCCTTCTCCAGAGGGTCAGTACCTCGAGTGCACTAGAGCTCTTCCCTGCACAGCCACTGCCCTGGTGCAGCAAGTAAGTTGCACAGCTGAATGCAGTGGTCCTGCCTGTTTCATGTTTTCCTGAAAACCACTTTGGTGGATCAATGAAAAAATATAAAAGTAGATTATTTTATAACCTTTTGACATATAAAGCAAACAAGCAAGCTTGCTATTACAGATTTTAAAAATTAAATCTTTAGAACATGTATATCTTGAGGACATGTAGAATCTGTTACCTTCCTCTTAGGACCGTGCAAGTGACATTTTCAGGGTCTCTTCTAGAACTGGTGCAGTCCATCTTAAGCAATAGAAGATGAAAGAAGTATAGTCATGGACTTCTCTTCCGAGGATCCCCAAGAGTATGAAGAGAAAGGAGGAGCCTGGATGTGATAAAGGGAAATGGCAGTAATAACTCACATGAGCAGTGACTAACTCTTGCTTTCCATAGGTAAAAGTCACTTGAGCCTTAGATAAAATTGAGAGACTGGGCTGTGAATAATTCTTACAACATGTCAGCAAGGATACTGTATCAGTCAGTGTTTACTAGAAAAACACATAAGATATACACATATAATAAGGATTTACAAGATTGGCCAATCAGAGAGTCAAATGAGGAAGCGTGCCGAGGGTCTGTCTGCACATTGCAGACCAAAGGTTTCAATTGAAGGTCTAGAGCTCATTGCAGTGCCCCGTGCGTGTCTGTATCGGGAGGCCAGTGGGTCTGTGCCATAAGCTGAAGGACCTGCACTGGAAGCCAAAAATCTGAGCTAGAAACCAGGAGATGATGAAGCCAAGGTGAAGGGGAAGACTGGAGCTCCTCTGAAGAAACAGAAGCAGATCTGTCCTTACATCCAGGTGACAAATTATCATCCAGGGTCTTCACACCATAGGGTGTGGAATTGCTGAGCCAATTTAATTGAGCTTCTCTTACTCAACTAGACACAGTCAACCAATTATCACAGACAACAAACTGGATTTGTCATATCTCAACGCAACAAGCTATATGCTGTTAGTTGTTGGGTACCCAACAGCCTGAGATTGATCTACCTTGTGCCCTAGAATCAGGACCTGTGGGCAAGAAGCAACAGGGAGGTTGACTCCTGTCCATCTGTGGAGAGAACCTCTAAGGACAAGAACATCCTAGAAATTAATATTAATGGACAGCTCAAATGACACACGGTGCGGTCTCTGGAGGGCCAGCCAAAACTAAGACTCCCTGAAAGAAATGGTACATGTGGAGGCTTAGCGCTCTTCTGTGTACTTCCTCATTTATGCCACCCTACTATATTGCTTCGTAATAGTTATTACATGTATCAAATTATCACACTGCACCCCACTAATACATAGAACTAAAAAAAAAAAATGGAACCATGTACAGTAGTGCAAACTTATAGTCCTAGCTACTAAGGAGGCTGAGGCAGAAGGGTCAGTTGAGTCTTAAGAGTACGAAGTCAGCCTGAGAAAAATACTACAACTTTGAAATCATTAAAGTTCAAAAATAAAAATGACTGAGTTTTAAGAGAAAAAAGCTGTAAATTCATAAGATTAAAAAAATTATATAGGATTCCTATTATACTAATATGAATATAAATGATTTCAGAGAAATAATCTTTTAAGAAAAATAAGGCCACCTCTAAACAATGAGAAGTACCTTAAACTTGATCTAGGAAAAGTTAGTCATCCCTGGGGATATCCCAGGCTACCAACATCTGAAAATGCTCAGGTCCCTTATATAAATGGTGCAGTGTGTGCAAAGAACCTAAGCATGTCCTCCCATATGCTTTAAGTCATCTCTAATATAAATGCTGTTTATTGTTATATAATTGTTATAGTATATCTTTAATAATGATTTAAGACCCAGTGTGCTTAGTACAGATGCAGTTTTTAAATACTTTTTTGAACCAGAGTTGAATCTGGATAGGGAGCCTACAAATATGGAGCCACCACACTTGCATCATCTTAATGTTGTATTATCTCAAATCTCATGGCTTTGCTTTTCCCAAGACTCTAGCTGCCTGAGAACTTCGAATAGGCTCCCCTCTCTTGTGGCCAAACTTCAAGGACGTAGAATGGCCTACAAAAAAATACCCAGTCTGGTCCTTGCCGCTCTGACCTCTCCCCTTTTCTTGCTCTTCAAACACCAACCTGTTTCCCTGTTTGTCACCTTCTTTTGCTTGCCCGCTCTTCTGCCAAGTGTTTTCCACCAGGTGTTCACTGGATGATTATTTCCCTTGAGGGATGCCTGCTTAGGTCACTGCTTTATCAGAAATGGCCATTCTATGCAACATAGCATCCCATGTACTAACTTTCAATCCTTTTTTACCCTTGTTTATCTTTTTCCATAGCACTTATCATCATCTCATGTGTATATGTGTGTGTCCGTTTTGTTTTTTGTTTTGTTTTGTTCTTCTGTATCCTACTACTAGAAATTAAGCTCCTTAAGTGGAGGGATTTACTTGGTTTCCTATTTAACGCCAGTGCTTAGAAGAGTGCCTGAATGAATAATAATATTTACCCTAAGTTCAAAAACCATTTTAGAAAATTAAAAATCTATAGAAATAGGCAAAGGATATGACCAATCCACTGAAACATTTTAACTACCATGAGATGTTGAACTCTTATTTCTAATTAAATTAGATGCAAAATAAACCAGAAATTATCATCATTAGCAAAAATCTGGGTGGGGGTGGAGAAAGTATATAGGAGTAGACAAGAAAACATAAAGGCTTTTACTTTTCATTTTTAACATTTGTGAACATTTTGAATTTTTTAACCATGTGCATGTATTACCTTTTTTTTTCCCCCTCTCATTTTAAGTATCTACTGGAATGGTGTAGGCTAAGAAATTATGGGCCATGATTTTGTCACCTTTTTCCTTTGTTTTAAAAAGTAGAACACCTGTGCTGGATGTGATGGCACATACTTGTGACCCTAGGACTTGCATGGCTGAGTTAGAAGTATTGCATGAGTTCAAGACCAACCTGGGATACATAGTGAAACCCTGATTTAACAAAAAAAAAACAACCAAAAAGTAGAAAGCCTAGTATGTGTGGTTGTTTTGTGTTGCTTTGTTTTAATACTGGGAGGGTTGGAAGCTTGAGCATCTAAATGTGAAAGCAGTGTTAGAATCAAAAAGAGAGTGGAAATAATTTTATTGATTGATTCATTCATTCACTTTTTCAGTCATTCGCAGGACTGAAAACCCACAGGTCTTTCAGCTGATCTACACTGTCTTCCCCACCCCGCTATTTACTTACTTATTTAGAGACAGTCTCACTAAGTTGCCTAGGCTGAGTTTAAACTTGCAGTTCTCCTACCTCGGCCTCCCAGAATGCTGGAACTACTGGCATGTGCCACCACACTTAGCTGAGTAAAAGTAATTTTAAAACATTGAAGGTATGTATCTAAAACTTATTTTTACAAAACTAAAAATTCAGCCAGGCATGGTGGCACACACGTGTAATCCCAGCACTCAGGAGTCTGAGGTGAGAGGATCACTGTGAGTTCAAAGCTAGCCTGGGCTAAAAGTGAATTTAAAGGGCTAGAGATTTAGCTCAGCAGTGTAGGCACCTGCCTTTGGCAAGTGTGATGTCACAAATTCAATTCCTGGTACCAAAAAGAAAAAGATTTAAGGCCAGCCTAAGCTGCACAGTAAAACTCTCAAAAAAGAACAGGAAGGGGGGTGCAGGGATTTAGCTCAAGTGGTTGCCTGCTAAGCACAAGGTCATGAGTTCAATCCCTGTAAACCAGGTCGGGAGGAGGCTGAAAATTCAGTTGTGTTTAAATGTTTTATAATGCTCTGAGTTATGCTTTCTGATTTTAATCTTATAGCTGTTATACCTTCCTATACCATGAGTAAAGGATTGAATCACGTAAAATCCAACTTTGTTCAATACATCTTATGACTTTCCTACAAAAACTTGGGTTTCTACAAACTGATTTTATATGATAAAGAAAATAACCAACAGGGAGCAACTTAAGATAAACGTGGATAAATGTATTTGCAACGACCTTGCTTCTTAGGGGCTCAGGGGGCAGTTTGGCCACTGGGCAGAGCCTTGGTCCTGGCATTACCTCAGCTTTTACCAAGACAATGCGGCAGCCAAGCAGGCTGCTACACTTTTAAATTCTTTGTGAGCAGCAGACTCTGTCTCTTGGCTTTTATAGTCAGCATCCCCAGGATTAGCACATAGTTCTCAAAAATAAGTGAATCAAAATATTGAAAAAGGCAGCCACAAGTTCAGAAACTAGGGGAAAAAAGTCCATCCCAGGCTCTAGATGTGACTGGAATCAATCCCACTTTTACTGTCTTGTGCTGTTGCTGGTGGGGGTGAAGCACAGAGTCCCACACATGGGAGACAAGTGCTCTACCTCGGAGCTCTTTAAGCCTTCTGTTCCTTCAGTGTGCTCTAAGAGCTGACTTCACATTGCAACATACTTTCAGCTCATGGATCAGCTTTACTTCCTGTGTGTGTTTCATTCCGGCTCACATTCTGTTGAAATGGGTTAAAGAAGGGGCTGGGGATTTAGCTCAGCGGCATAAGCACCTGCCTTGCAAGCAGGCAGTCGTGGTTCAATCCCCGGTACCGATAAAAAAGGAAAAAGACCAAAAAAAAGAAAAAAGGGGGGGGGGGTTAAAGTATGATAGAATTTCACAGTAGTTTCATGTTATTAGCCTGGTCATGTGATACATTTTATTTAGTTGTTTCAGTCCTGAAACTAGTAACATGAGGCAGGGCCTGGTGGCGCAGGCCTATAATCCCAGTACTTGGGAGGCTAAGGCAGGAGGATCACTGAATTCAAAGCCAGCCTGGGATATACAGTGAGACCCTGCCTCAAAAAAACCAGAGAATAACACAAAATTAGTAACACGAAGATAGCATTAGAGGGGCTGGGGGTTTAGCCAGCGGCATAAGCACCTGCCTTGCAAGCAGGCGGTTGTAAGTTCGATCCCTGGTAACGATAAAAAAATGAAAAAGACAAAAAAAAAAAAAAAGAACAGAGAATAACACAAAATTAGTAACACAAAGATAGCATTAGAGGGGCTGGGGATTTAGCTCAGTGGCATAAGCACCTGCCTTGCAAGCAGGCAGGCGTGAGTTTGATCCCCAGTACCGATAAAAAGGAAAAAGACAAAAAAAAAAAAAAAAAAAAGATAGCATTAGAGCCAAGGATTTAGCTCAACAACACAGCACCTACCTGGCAAGTGCAAGGTCTGGAGTTTGATTCCCAGTACCAAAAAAAACTATGGATGAAAAGATGGCTATAGAATCTAGACGTGGTAGCATACACTTAAATCTCAGCTACTTAGGAGACTGAGGCAGGAAGATTGCAAGTTCAAGGCCATGCTGGGCAAGACCCAGCCCCAAAAGTAGAAAGG